AGAGAAGAGAAGAGAAGAGAAGAGAAGAGAAGAGAAGAGAAGAGAAGAGAAGAGAAGAGAAGGGAAGAAAAAGAAGCAACTGGTCGGCCACCTTCTAAGACCATCATGGTGTGGGGGTAGAGATTTGATGTCTTCATGTGAGCTGAGGGGTCTGTCTTCCTGCAGGCTCCTGCTGCCATGGACAGCCTCTGTGGCCAGGAGCAGCCCAGAGAACTGAACTCACCACCGTGCTGCCTGCCCCTCTCCCTAGAATAGTGCGTGAGTCATCGGACATCTGTCTGCTCTCTCCCGTCTTACCCGTCACTGGGCCTAGCACAAGGTGATCGTCATGGAGGGAAGGGCTGGCTCCCTCCATGAGTACAGCCACGTCCTTGCAGTGCTGTGCCTGTTATGAGTTAGGGAGGGCTCAGTGAGTCCTTCGGTCAGGGCATGAGTTTTGTCAGGGTTTGGCACTGGGTTTGCCAAGCCTGAGTGAGAACACAGGAGACTGCCGTTGGAAGGACCGTATCTGGAATCAGTTCTGGGCCTCACTTCCACCTCTGGCTTTGTTTGTGACTCTGGGAAACGGGGTTCACAGCACTGAGATGCAGATCCTCTCAGCATGAAACAGGGGAGCTGTCACCGTTCCTCTCAGGATGGGGGGAATTAGATATAAAATGGCCAGCACGCCCCGGCCCTGAGTTCAGCGTTTGACATGTCATGAACGCACCTGAACCCTTCTTCCTTTCCAGCTGAGGAAATTCTAGGGCCCTAACTAAGAACAGGACCCAGAGGGCTAGTGGGGTGGGAAGAGGGATGTCCCAGGCCCTAGTACACACCTGTTCGGCAGGCCTTGTGTCCTGCTGGGGCAGATGCTTCTCATTGGAATTGGTCTCTGGGTGGCTGTGGCCTGCAGGGGTCACTGGGGTGGTCACTGCTGCGGCAGCCTCAGGCTGCTGTGGAGTCTCCTCCTGAGCCTTCTTCACCTCAGAATCAGGGCCTGTCTCTGTTGTCATGGTGACCAGCACGCCTGCATTGGAATGGAGGCGAGCATGTGACAGAGGAAGAAAGATGATAATGTGACAGGAGGGCAGGAACCGCACGCACGCGGTGAGGAACAGATGGAGACAAATGGACAAAGAACCAGAGAGAAGGAAGGGGTTAGGGTCAGAGGGAAAGTGAGAATGTGAGGAAATCTCAGGCCTCTTGCCCTCTGTGTCCAGTGGCATAGAAATCCAGGCCAGGGAGCTGGACCCTTTCTGTGGAGGAGGAGGGTCTCTCTGGGGCACTTAGCTCTGCACAGCAAGGCCTGGGCCAGGCTGACTCTCCACTACACCTGGGACACCTCAGTTAATGCAGGACACACTGAACGCAAGCTAAGAAAGCCCTGGATTTCAGACCTGTGAGCAAGAGTTTAGGCAACTCCCTTCACTTCCCAGGCTGCAGTAACACACAGACACACAGACACAGACACACACACACACACACACACACACACACCAGCCCCAGGTTCACAAGATGTTGTCAAGATGGGGTCCCACGGATCAAAACAGGTAGACACTAGGAGAAAACACTCCCTGATGCCCATGAAATAAACACTCAGGGTAGCAGGGCTCAGGCTGTCTGCCACGAGTGAATCACCTCCCCTCTCTGGGACTCACCCACAAACTGGGGGACTTAGGGGGACATCTCTAGGACAGGACGTTTTTAACAGTTTCCCCTTTGAACATTAAATGAAATGCCAGAGAAAACCGCAGACCTGCTGTTCAACTATTCTGCTGGAATTAGCCAGATCCTAAAGACAGTGACCTTCACAGTGAGGCTTCATGTCTTATTCATTTTGTAGGGGATCATAGAGGACATTTGCCACTGTTCACAGAAGTTAGGAAAATGAAAAGACAGGGATAGGAGGGTTGAGAAGGAAAGCTCCATTTATAATCTAGACACCTTGAAATTACTTGGATCTTTTTGCTTTGAGATAAGATCTCACCACATAGCCCGGGCTGTGCAGTCCACACCAGCACTGAACTAGTTAACAATTGTTATTATTGTTGTTGAGTGTGTGCACACGTGTATGGAAGGCAGAGGACAGCTTTTCAGAACTTGGTTCTGTCTTCCACGCTGGGCTCTGGGGATCCAACTCAAGTCTTCAGGCTTGTGCTACAAGCACTTTTATCCGCTCAGCCGCCTCAACAGGCGAGTCCCTGAGCTCCTGATCCCTCCACCCCAGGCTCCCCAGTGATGGGATTACAGGATATGCCGTCACACTCAACACCTGGGTGTTTGCAGTAAGTGTATTCACTTGTAAGTTTGTTTTGTTTTTAAAGGCAAAAGCATCGATTCCCGACCACAACCAGAGCATGAGAAGTGGATAGGAACCATCATTCTTTGGTCTAGGATCTTCCTCTACGTTCGTTGTATCCTAGGACATAAGAAAGAGCCACACGTGGTGGGAACCTCGCCTTAGCCATCCAGAAGGACAGGCCTCAGACAGACAGGCATCCTGGACACCCTGATCCATGCACATGCTCCAGGACTCCCATTTCTCCATCTGTGCCACGCACGGTGTCTATGTTACCAGAGAAGGCAGGAGGATTACCACAAGTCTGAGGCCAGCCTAGGCTACAAAAGGAGACCTATCTCAAAAATCCAAAACCAAGCCATACCAAACAAAACAACTTATTTACTTATTCAAACTTGTGGAGCCCAGGGCCCCCCATACGCCAGGCAAGCCCTTCCTGTTTGGTCTGTGGTACCTCTCTGCATTCCCATGGGCACTGGGCTAGCCCAAAGCAAACAACACTAGGCAGGCTACAGGCGGGCCCAGGGCCATGAAGGGGTCCCAGGTGTCCTCCACCCACGGGGCCCACATGGCAGTGCCCATGAGCGGAAGCAGGCAGCACAAACAGGAGGTGTGCGCGTTCCCTGCGCTGCTGTTGAGCAGCCAGACATGGAGGAAGGGGAGATGGTCACCCTGCTTCACTCGCTCAGGAGGCTCTCTTCCAGCCCTTACCCTGACCTTAGAGAACAGGAAACAACTTCAAGCCAGTTACCCAAAGACACACCACCCCTCTCATGAGCTCTGCACGTAACAAATGCTCTGTTGGAGTTCCCAGCCCACACAGGGTCAAACCAAGTCCTATCTGCCGAGCCCAGGACCTTCCCTCAGCCTATGCAGGGAGGATGTCCAGACCTCATGTCAGGCAGGGTCAATAGGCAAGAACTCTTCAAAATAATTTTTCATTTAGAAAAGCCAAAGAGAGAGAGCTCAGTGGTTAAGAGTACCTGCTGTCCTTCCAAAGGACCTAATTTCAATTCCCAGCACCTGCCTGGAATTCCAGCTATGGGTTGGGGCGTACTATCTGACTCCCTCTTAGGGTTTCCACTGTCCCCAGCACACCCACAGGGCAAATACACATAAATAACAAAATAGATATCTAAAATCATCTTAAAAATTCAAAAACTTATGTAGATACATTTTGCGACAAGCAGAGTCCGAATGCCCCTGTGTCCAGGCAGCCCTTGCCTACATCACTCCTCCCCTTCTAGGGTCCTCCCTGTGGCTTCAGCCTAGACTCTTGGAACTTCCCCCTACCTGACCATTCCTGGAAATAGCCAGGAAAGCAATCTTCAGTGAGTATCCCAAATTTTTCCTGCAGAGCTTCTGGTAGCCATAGACGGAAAGAGCTGGACACTTTCTGAGAAGCCACTACCCTACTCTTGTCACAGGTGAGGCCTGAGCGACAGTCACTCTTCAAACAGTGCCCCTTAGTTTTCCGCCCGTCCTCTAGATCTCTAGATCTGAACATCAGGCACTCAAACTACCTCCAGCAAGAGCCCAACATAACCTCCTCAAAGGAGAAACAGCCCAGGCCCAGGCTGGACACCCAGGAGGGAGAGGGAGGCCGCGGCCAGGGGTCTGGATATAGAGATACTGGCTTAGCTTCTTGGAGAGTAAACAGAAAATCATGGGAAGCATTTGAGCGAAAGGGCATGGTGTCGGCGATCTATACATATGACCCCATCTTAGCAAACACACAGATCCTTACGACAACGTGAAATGAGAAAGCCTGTCATTATGTAAACTCGAGACATGCTAATAAAAACGGTAAAAATAAATAAATGTCTAGGTAAGTAAATGCTGAGGACCCCTCAACCCTAAAGCAGAAGAAGAAGAAGAAGAAGAAGAAGAAGAAGAAGAAGAAGAAGAAGAAGAAGAAGAAGAAGAAGAAGAAGAAGAAGAAGAAGAA